CTGGACATTGGTGAAGCCTGGTAATGGGGCTTGTGGCTGAAACTAGAGAACTGGCAGGTTTGTTGTCAGGAGTTGGACTATGCCAACTGATTGTATGGTGACAGGATCAGCAACAGGAAGGTTGCCAGCAGCTGGGCACGCAGCAGCGACTGTGGAGGCAGCTGGGATGGCATCTGGTGGTGCTATACCAGGTGGTCTGACGCAGGCAGGGTGGCAACAAGGCTGGCAGCAGCTGGACCCACAGCAGCTGGGTGGACAGCAGGCTGGTTTCCAGCAGGTGGTCCTGCAGCCGGCAGGCTAGCAGCAAGGTGAGCAGCAGGAGCGGGCCATAGTGTCAGGTGTGGAGGGTGGGTCCTGTTCACAGGTGAGTTTTTCAGATTATGATGACTCCTTCCAATCTAGATCTTATGTGCATTGTACTTCCAAAGTATGGACCAGTCAGTAGGATTTTTCCTTGTTGCTGTTTATATTATTTTCCGTATTCATTTTGGGGTCGACGAGGAGGAAGTCTTTTTCTAAATGTTATGAATCTTTTGAAAATAAGTGTTGGATCTGTTTTTTTAAATTGCCAATAACTCATGAATTTTTTTTCCAGATAAAGGACAGGAAGGTCACATCATTGACATTTTTTCCTGCTCTGATCATCATCTGTCATCTGATGATTCCTTTGGACTGCAGAAACTCAAGACAGATGTCCATCCACAGCTTGTTCTTTTGGAACGTATCTCTGGGATGGGGCATGAGGATGATACATCACTGTGACAAATTGAATCTGTGCATGGTTTCAAGGTTGTTCATGCACAAACCTGGTTCAAAATTAACAGGCATTTGTCCACCAAAGATGCTTGGCAAGAGAATGTTTGGCGCAATGTGTTCCTAATGGCAGAGCAGAATCAGAGCAGGTGATAGAGGAGTATACAGAGATTCAGAAAGCATTCATACAACATGTCCGGGGTGACCATTTATCAGGTTTGCATAGCATCCAGGGGTTTCCCAGGATGTGGGACTTGCGGTAATTAACAGGGAGAGTTATGCACAAACTGAGATGAGGCAGTCATTCTAGTGTAGCCTTGTTTAGCACTACTCAGAGATTTCAAGTCATTAAATAAAATTATTTTCTTTCCTGTATTTTATCAACAGCATATTCACAAATTTGTGGAGGGGAAAATTTACATGCATAGTCATGTACCCATCAAAATAATAGTTTTATTCTTCTCATAATAATCTTTTTATATTTAAAATTTTGGTTGCCACAATACACTCCTATGTCCTCCACTACAATGTTGCATGTGACCGAGAACTGGGTGTCCTTATATTCTTCATATAGTATATTTCACAGTTAAATATGACACTTTCAGTCTTTTCTTTGTAGCAAGTTTTTTCTTCCTCATTTGTTAAGGTTGTCTATCTTTAAAAATGTGTTGACTTTTGTAAAAGACTTTTTCTTCACAAATTGAGGCAATTTAAAGGTTATTTAACCCTGAAAAGTATATTTGAATAAAAGCATTTACTTAATATTGCAATTTTAGACCAACTTTGCATTTCTGAAAATATGCCCATTTGGGTTATTATGGCACTGGATTTGACTCATTTATATATTATTTAGGATACATACTGAATTTGATCCCACAAATTTATTTCCCCGTTTTCACTGTTTTTCCTTCCATCTTCTCTAATCAAGTCAATTTTAATTGAGCCCAAATTCCCTACTCTCCTATGATCCAATTTGGTCTTGATGTGGCTGTCTGTACTAATGTTCCCGAAGGCATACCCATGCCCGAACATACACTAGCAGTGTTATTGCAGAGGGTGGTATGGAATTGTCCCAGTGATCTATTTCTGGTACACACCCATCATGGCAGAAATTCCAGGAAAATGATTTTGCCAAATTGCTGAGCTTTGTTATGTACTTAAAAAAAAAGATAACAAACTCCAGAGCAATTTTCTCAAATTAATGCTTTGTTATTTCTAAACAATATCATGTTGCTCTGGAGAACATAGGTGAAGAAGTGACTTTAAACTCAAATGATAAGAGGAACTTCCTTGCAGGATAAGGTAGCATGGGCTCAGCCCACTGAAAAGCTGAGAGAAAAGTGTCATTGGGAAGCACAATCAAGAAGATGGTGGTATCAAGTTGTCCCCAGATCAACTGAGACATAAAACGAAAGAGCCCCTGTGATTCTTTGAAGAAAGACATACTACTCTGGGTATCACAAATAAATAGACAAATAGACAAATAGACTGGAGAAAATAAAGACCCTCAGTTACAAGAAAAATGATTATGCTTATATGATATGTGATAACATAATTAGCTCTTAAATGTCATGTAAGGCAGGAACAAAATGAAAGGTTACACTAGCAATTAAGAAATATCACAATTTTGGCAGTAAACTCAGCAGCCACAAGATAAAAACATAGGAGAGATCAGATTACCTTTAGAAAGAGGAAATTAAAGTGGTCAGGATTAGAAGAAATCACACTATCCTGGTTAAGGATTTTGTGATATAAAATGTGCATTTCTCAAAGGCAGTGGGACGGTCCCTCACAGAAGTCAGTCTTTGGAGCCACAATGGAATAGATGTTAGTGCCCTGTTAGCAAATCACAGACAAGAGTATGGTTCCTTGATATTCCAGTTCCTTAGGCAAAACCAAGAATTTTTTTTCTCATTGCCAAGATGTCAAAAACAGAAGAATACTATTCCAACATGGCAATAAATGCAATAATAAAATATTGTATTTGGATACTATTAAAACAGACTAAAGTCATTGACAAGGATGTGGAGAAATAGGAGTCCCACTATGCTGGAGGAAATGTAAAATGGTGCAGGAGAATGAGAAAACAGTATGGAGGGACTTCATAAAAGCAGGCACAGAGACACCATAAGATCCAGCAGCCCCGTTTCAGGGAGTTTAGGTAAAAAAAATGAAATCAGAATCTTGAAGACATTACATTCCAGTGTTCATGGCAGAACAATTAAAGACAGCCAAGCCATGGAAGGAACCCAAATGTCCTCTGAGTGACAGTGGATCTAGAAAATGTGTCACAAACATACAATGGAATACTAGTCATATATAAAAGAGAAGGAAATCCTCCCCCTTGTACTAATATGCATGACAAGAATTCTAATGATACCATTGCAGACAAATTGCTGAGTTTCATTATGGAACTGGACCCATGTGAATAAAGTCCAGAGCAATATACTAAAAATTGATACTGGTTGCTTTTACACCACATGGTATTATCCTGGAGAACATGAGTGAAGTAGGGCCTTTAGCCCTTAACTCAAATGATAAAAAGAGGAGCTTACCTGCAGGTTAAGTAAGCATTACCTCAACCCACTTTGATGCTGGGAGAAAAGTTTCATTGGGAAACATGATCAAGAAGCAGGTGGTATCAGATTTTCACCCAATCAAATGACACATAAAACAGGAGAGTTCCTGTGACTTCTGGAACACAGAACTTTCAGCAGGATTATAACTCTGCCTGGAAGATTTAGAGGCTCAAAAGTATTGAATCAGAAGCCCGATGTGTCAAAAATATATTTGGACTTGTATGACATGTTAATATCTTAATAGTCTGCAAACATTACATCAAAGAGGAACTCAAGGAAAGTTCGCATGAACAAATCAGAAGCATCCCATTTGAGCTGAACACTCAGGTGCCACAAGACAGGAAAATAAGAAAGATGGGAAAGTATAATTTCAAAGTGACACTAGTAGGAGCACATTTATTGCAAAGGCACCTCAAACAGAAAAAAGTAGCTTCCAGATTAGAAGCATTTACTCTAGCCTGGTTGGGGATTTTGTGAGAATAAATATATATATATTTTGGAAAGCATTGGAGTGGTCCACTAAGGAGGTTTGGAGGCTTGGGGGCATTGGATTGGAAGAAATGGAAAAGATGGCAGTGTCCAGCATCTCATGGGACAGGGGAAAGACATTGCACCCTAATCTTGTAGTTTCATAGGCAAGACGAAGAATTTTGTCCTGCATGAGATGTTGGTAAACAATGCATGTCATCCTAAAATTGCAATTGTTGTGCATCAGAATATTGTGTCTGTCTATGCTAGAAAGTACCCAATGGAGTCAGGGTTTTTACAAGGATGTGAAGAAATTGAAAGCCTGTTATATTGGAGGGAATGTCAAATGGTGCAGGGACCATTGAAATTAGTATGGCATTTTCTCATAAAATCAAACACAGAAATGCCGTATGACCCAGCAACCCTACCTCCAGGTGCTTGTTTGAAAGAATGAAACCAGAAACTTAGGGAGGCGTCAGTACTCTCACGTTCATGGCAGTACTATGAATAATAGCCACATTGTGGAAGCCAGCACACCTGTCAGCTGATGGATGAATGGCTCAAGAGCTTTTGCCAGACACCTACAATGGAATAGTGCTCAGCCTTAGAGAAGAAGAAAATCCTCCCCCTTGTACTAACGTGATTGAAACCTAAGATTCTCTCCTAAATGAACTAAGCTGGTCACAGAAGGCTATACACTAAAATATTCCACCTTTATGAGGCATGTAAAAGAGTGAAACTCACATAAAGAAAGAATGGAGTTGTGGTTTCAGAGGGTGAAGGTAAGTTGAGGCAGGGAGCAGAAAAGCAATAGGTGTGACATTCAGATTTATTTTTTGGTTCTGAGGATCAAATCCAGGGATGTCTTACCACTGAGCCACATCCTCAGTCATTTTTATTTTCATTTTGAGACAGGATCTTGCTACGAAGCTTAAGATCTCATTAAGTTGTGGAGGTTGGGCATGGACTTCCTGTCTCAACCTCCCAAGTCGCTGGATCATGGGCACGTGTCACTACTCAGCTGTTTGTAGGCTATGTCAGTTACTCAAGAAAAAGAACTTCTATGAAGCTTCAGTAGAGAGTGTGATGAAATAACAACATGTTTTGCACCTAAAACGTATGAAACATAGGATTCTCATGTCAGACATTCTCAGCATAGGAGAATAAAGACAGACAATATGAATGAATAAAGTTCCAAAATTTTATTAATAATTTATAAAGGTTGTCTGTACCCAGGCCATTGAAGTTGATGTTGACAGGAGAAAGCAGCATTCAGGAATATAGAGAACAAGACAAAAAGAAACCATAACTGTAACGATGAAGGAGCAGTTGCATATACCTATGAAATTCTTCTGGAAAAATGTGTTCTTGTTTTCTTTAGATGAGAGGTAAAAATCTTGGTCTCAGATTTTTCAGCCATGACAACACCTTGCCATCAAAGATATATTAAGCAGGCACAAGATGCACATGGCCTAAGGAAGAAGAGGACAGGAGTGGAGTGGTCTGCACTCCCTTGAGGTGATTCACATGCTGTTACAGGGGTGACTGTGAATTTCTGGTGACAGCTTGATGATCTTCAGCCAGGTAAGAAGAGAGTTCTTGCAGGAAAGGAAAGGCAGCTAACAGGAGTCTGTGTAAACCTTGGTCCTTAGGGGGTTGATCACGGGCAGCAAGGCTGGCAGCAGGTGTCCACACAGCAGCAGGGCTGGCAGCAGATGCTGCAGCAGCTGGGGCCACAGGTTGGTTTGCAGCAGGTAGTCCTGCAGCAGATGGTTTCACAGCAAGTTGGGGGACAGCAGGGCTGGCAGCAGGGAATGATGCAGCAGCTGGGGCAGCAGCAAGGCTCACAGCAGGGTGTGCTGCAGCAGCTGACCACAAAGGCTGGTTTGCAGCAGGTGGTTTTGCAGCAGGTGGTTTCACAGCAAGCTGGGGGACAGCAGCTGTCACAGGTGGTTTTAATACAGCAGCTGGGTGCACAGCAGCTGGGTGGACAGCAGGGTGTGCTGCAGCAGCTGGTGACACAGGCTGGTTTCCAGCAGGTGGTCTTGCAGCAGGTGGTCCTGCAGCAGGTAGGCTGGCAGCAAGGGAAAAAGCAGGAGCCGGCCATGGTGTGAGGTGTGGAGGGTGGGATCCTGTTCACAGGTGAGTGGGTTTGCACAATATGGTGACTCCTTGCCATTGGGCTCTTTTATCCTAGGGGCCTCCAAAGTTTGGGCCAATCAGCAGTCCTTCACCTTGTTGTTGTTTATGTTATTTTCCATATTCAGTTTATGTTTGTTAAGGAAGTTATACTGTAAATGTAATGAGTGTTGTGAAAGTGTTTAATCTGTTTCTTAAGAGGGCCTAACTCACAGGAACTGTTTCCAGATGAAAGGAAGACAGTCACCTCATTAGCATCTTTGGTGCTCTGAGCATCATTTGGGTCATGTGGTGGCTCCTGCTGCCCTGGGAGGGTCAGGGAAGTTGTTCCTCTGGAGATTTGTGTTTTGGGGCTGTATTCAGATTAGGGAGTGTCTATGGGAGGAGCTTCTGTATTCACAGAGATGAACAGAACACGTGTTTATCCAGAGCATCCTGACCAAAGACTCCTAGAGGCATCTGTCTCTGTCCCAGCTCTCCCACCTGTGTGTCCCAGGTGTATCCAAGGTACACCTTAAGAGGATGTTGGACACGTGGTTTTCCATAGCAGAGCAGAACCGGAATGTGAGAGCAGATGCAGCAGCAGTACATGGTGAAGAGCCAGGTATGATGGGTGTGTGGATGACCATCTGTCCTGTTATCCAGTCCTGAGGGCTCACCAGGATGAGCCTCTGGGACACTCTGCCACACTAGCCTTGCAGACTATGCCAGTCAGGATGAGCAGGTCACTGTTGTCCCCACCAGCATGCCAGCAGAGTCGGTGATTCTTGGGTCAGGGATCTTTCTGTTTTTCCTGTCTCTGCCTCTCTGTTTCTTTCTCCTCCCTTCTCATCTATCTATTGTTTTCTTGCCTTCTTTCTATTCCACGAGGAAATTATCTCAGGTGAGATGGTACCTAATTTTGTCTGTGAGGAATCTTGTATTTAAAACGTTTTTACTTCTACCATTCCATCCAAAATAATGCATGTTATTACTTTCCCACTTGATATAATATCCTAATGTGAATGCATGCATGTCACTATTAGTGGGTTAGGAAACGGACATGAACTTTGTTCCCTACAAATCATATCCTCTCACTCATCCCCTAAGAGGGCAGATTCCTCTCTTGACTTGTCACCTTTTGGAGCAGTTTTGGCTTTCTTCAACTCTTAGGTTCTTCAGGATGGTAGAAGTATTGGATCTCCTTATGAGTGTGAGATTCATCAGTATAGTTATCTACGGTCTGTTCATTCTCAGTGCCGTAAAATTTCCACTGAGTGAAATTGACACAATTTATTTGTTGGTTGTCCTCTAGATGAGCATGTGGCTTTCTTTTAAAAATTTTCTTTATTGGTGTGTGGCTCATATAAATGTTTTTGCACAGAGCCTGTGGTCATGCAAATGATATTTCTGGTGGATGCAATCCTGGGCATAGAATTGTTCATACAATTCTCATATTGAAAGATTTATTCTTTTCTTTGTGGCTGAATTATCCATGTTCTCTCAATTTTTTTTCTTCACCATTTTATTTTGGGGAGATTCACGCTGGTGGATTAGAGCTAGGCTACCTTTCCAGTTGCTTGCTGGGTCAAGATTCAAGCAGAGAACGTACTTCTTATTAGCCAGTTGGGTGGATGAAGGAATTCTTTGTAATTCACCACTGAACAGTCAGACTCAGAAATTCAGATGCATTGAACAATGAACTAGGAAGTGTGTAGCTGGTTGTGGTAACAGCACTGGTTTACTGCAGATAAAGTGTGTGTGTGTGTGTGTGGGGGGAGAGAGAGAGAGAGAGAGAGAGAGAGAGAGAGAGAGAGAGAGAGAGAGGACAGAGAGAGAGGAGAAGAGAAGAGAAGAGAGAGAGCAAGAGCAAGCAACATAGCAGGCAAATTTGGCACAGAAAAGCAACATGATGTTAGCTGATCCAGAGGCTGCACAGCCAACTGTGTTTGGAAGGTGCTCTGTGTTTCATAACTAGTAAATGGAGAGCTGAGGAAGGAGTCATCTTGAGGAGGCCACGCTGCAGCTTGCTTGTGCAGTAGCTCGGAAGACCATTGCAAACCTTGTGGTACAGTCCAGCCAAGCACCTACCACCTCTTTCCCTGGAGTCTGGTGGCTCATGTGAGCAGCTGAAGCTGAAAGGTAGGAGTGATCACTTTCAGGAATTCAGTCTGGGAAGGCTTGGGCAGCGGAATGCGTGAGAATTGGGGATGGTTGGCTCCCCTGCTCTGTGAATATTGTTATCAGGGGCTCCTGATATCCAGGTTCCCAGCATCTGCCCAGTTCTAGGGGTGTGTTGATCTAATCTCTCCAGAACAGATGTCTCCAAAAAATTCTCTAAAGCTTAATTAGAGCTAAGCCCCAGCCACGGGACCTCCCCACTTAGAGCTCTGTAGCAGCCTTGATCAGCAATGCTCTGATCAATGTGATGAAAAGTCTGGAGAACGTTCCAATGTTAGAACAACCTTGAGTTTATGAAAACAATTTAATGTGGTCATGATCACATGCATATGAGACACTGGATTTCACTCAGTTCTATTCTCAGCAGGATCTATTCTGATTGGCATTCTACAAATTTATTCTTCCGTTTTCACTGTGTTTCCTCCACCTTCTCTCATGAAGTGAGTTTCAAAGGAGCTGAGATTGCTACTCTCTTGACATAATTTGGCCTCAATGCAACTCCATGTCCCGCACTTCTGAAAGCTCTCTCCTGCCAGTAGATTGCACTATGTCAGTGCTCTGACAATGCCTGGGCAAAGAGATCTACAGTGTTGTTTTCATTTGGTGCACTAGGAAACTCCAAGCCTTCTTTTCTGAAGCACACACCATGGGGAGGAATTCTCAGGAGTCTCTTGAATACAAACTGCTAGTTTCGTATCACCTGAACAAAGTTCAACTCATTTATTAAAAATGATAATTGCCATTTCTAGACCAAGATTGTGTCATTCTGCAGAATACGAATGAGGAAGTGTTGTAAGCCCTCAACTCAAATGATTGAAAGAGTAATTTACTTGCAGATTAAGCGAGTATTGGCTCAACCCACTGAAGAGAAGCAGGGGAGGTTGTCACTGGGAAACATAATCAGGAAGCTGGTGATACCAGTTTGTCTCATGTGAACACAGACTTTTCACTGGGCTTATATCTCAGTTGTGAATTTGGAGGCTCAAAGTATTGAAGCAGATAACACTAATGAATCTGAAAATGTAGCTGGACTTGTAAGGCATGTCATATCCTAAAGGACTCTAAATGTTATGTCAAGGGGAAGTTTGCACAAAGAAATTGGGGACATCACATTTTGAGGTGACCACTCAGATGCCACAGGACATGCCACCAAGGGAGAGGAGATCACTCTTGGAATGTGGAACTTCAAAGTGACATTAGCAAGAGCAGAGTCCATTCATTGAGGGCAAAGAGAAAGATTGGCTTAAAGATTAGTAGCATTTCCCTAGCTTGGTTGAGGATTTTGTGAAAATAAATATTTCTTTTTAAAGACAGTGGGGTGGTCCACCATGGGTTTGGAGGCATGACCGTGACAGAAAGGAGAGATGGAAACATTGGCAGTGTCTAATTGAACATAGCACAGGGCAGGTACATTATTCTTTGATTTTGTAGTCCATTAGGCAAGACAAAGTGTTTTATCCCAATTGCATAAGATGTCAGTAAACAGAGGCATATCATCCTAACATTGCAATCATTGTAGTATTGGAATATTGTTTCTGGATATTCTACAAAGTACCGAATGCAGTAAGGGTTTTGACAAGGTTGGAGAGAAATTAGAAACCTGCAACAGGGGAGAGAATTTCTCATGATGCAGAAGCCATGGAAATTAGTGCAGAGTTTCTTGAAAGAATCAGCCATAGAAATACCATTCAATCTAGCAATCCTGCCTCCAGGTACTTAGGGGATGATAAATGGGATGATCAACTTGAAATGATATCAGCACTCTCATGTTCAAGGCAGTATTGTGAACAACTGTAAGGTGGGTGTGGAAGAAATCCTAACATCTTTTGGTGAAGGAATGGATGAAGAAAATATAGCAGAAACACACACTGGAATAATATTCAGGCTTAAAAAAGAAGGTAATCGTTCCTCATGTACTAATGTGGATGAACTTTAGCTTTCTCTCCCTTCAATGAACTAGACCAAATATAGAAGGACAAACAACATGACTCTACCTATATGAGGTATGTAAAATAGGTCAACTTAGATAAGAAAAAAATGGAGTGGTGGATTCCAGAGGCTGGAGTTGGTGGAAGTAGGGAGATGCCTGTCAATAGGTATGCCATTTCAATTATGCAAGATGAGCAACTTCCAGGGATTTGTGGTACAGATTGTATATAGTGACAACTTATCTTTCAGTTAAAAATCTATTAAGCATGTGATTCTCACATCAGGGGTTCTTAGTGTAGGAAAATAAAGACAGACATAATGGAATGAATATTTAGTATTTATTAAGAATTTCTGAAGGATGGTTGTACCCAGGGAGGAATCTAAAGGTGACAATGACAGGAGAACATAGAATACAGGAATCTGGAGAAGAATACCAAATAAATGATAACTGTAAAGTAAAGGGACAGTGGCACACAGCTATGGAATTCTGAATATGTGTATTCCTGTGTTTCTTAGATGGAGAGGTAAAGTTCTTGTGTTTCTTAGATGGAGAGGTAAAGTTCTTGGCTTTATAATTTTAACCAAGATCACACTTCCCCATCAAGGATCCTGAAGCAGGGTCAAGATGCACAAAGCATAAGGAAGGAGAGGAAGAGATTAAAGAGTCTGCATTCTCTCAAGGTCATTCACAGGGTCTTATGTTGGAGCCAGTGAATAGAATTTCTGGTGCCAGTATGATAGTTTTCAGTGAAGGTTAAAAGAAACTTCCTGCAGGTTAGGAAGAGTTTATGCAGGCAAACTTTGTGGAGTTGATCATGGGCAGCAAGGCTGACAGAAGCTGCACATACAGCAGAAGGGCTGGCAGCAGGGTGTGCTGCAGCAGCGGGTCACATGGGATTTTTTGGAGCAGGTGGTCCTGCAACAAATGGTTTGAGAGCAAGTAGGAGGGCAGCAGGGAAAGATGCAGCAACTGGAGCAGCAGCAAGGCTCACAGCACCTAGGTTTACAGCAGGGTGTGCTGCAGCAGCTGACCACACAGGTTGGTTTGCAGCAGGTGGTCTTGCAGCAGGTAGTTTCACAGCAAGTTGGGGGACAGCAAGGCTGGCAGCAGGTGGTCTTGCAGCAGGTGGTCCTGCAGCAGGTAGGCTTGCAGCAAGAGGAGCAGGCCATGGTTTGAGCTGTGGAGGGTGGGATCCTGTTCACAGGTGAGTGAGTTTGCACAATATGAGGACTACTTGAAAATCCGGCTCTTTTATCCCAGGAGCCTCCAAATTTTGAACCAATCAGCAGCCCATTTCCTTCTTGTTGTTATTGTTATTTTCCGTATTTGGCTTGTGTTTGTCTACAAAAATTTGCTATGCAAATGTGATGAGTATTGTAAACGTGTTTAATCTGTTTCTTAAGAGCTTGTAACTCACAAGAACTGTTTCCAGATGAAAGGAAGGCAGTCACTTCATTAGCATCCTTGGTGCTTTGAGCATCAATTTGGTCATGTGGTGGCTCCTGCTGCCCTGGGGGGTCAGCTCTTGTTCTAGAATATTTTTGCTTTGTCTGTATTCAGATTAGGAAGTGTCTATGGGAGGAGCGTGATGCTGCTATATTCAGAGTGAGGAAGCACACATGTGTTCATCCAGAGGATCCTGCCCCAAGGCTGGTTGAGGCCTCTGTCTCTCTACCAGGTCTTCCACATGTGGAAGAGGATGGTTGGCATGTGGTCTTCCATAGCAGAACAGGACCAGAAAGTGAGGGTAGAAACAGAAGCTTCACATGGGATGAGACAGGTATGGATGGATGTGTGGGTGGCCATTGGTCCTGTTTTATCCAGTACTGAGGGCTCCCCAGGATGAGCCTGTGGGACTTTCTTCCACATGAGCTTTGCAGACCCAGGAAAACCAGGATGATCAGGTGAATCTGTTTCTCATCTGGGCACCAGTGGACTGTGTGATCCTAGGTCAGGACTTTCCTCTGTCTTTCCCTCTTTCCTTTTATCCATGTCTCTTGTCTCTTTCTCTCCCCTCTTTTCTCATTTCCTGTGCTGCTTTTTTGCCTTCTAATCAATTTCATGAGGGAATTAAGATTAGGTGATATGGTTCCTGATTTATCTATGAGGACTAATGCATTTGAAAATATATTTAGATCTCCCATTCTATTCCAGAGGAAACAATTTATGAGTTTCCAGGTTGGTGATGTATTCTAAAATGAATGCATTCCCTGCCGCTATCACCAGGTTAGGAAATAGAAATAATCCCATTGCCTACAAACCACATCCTCTCACTCATCCCCAAAGGGTGCTAGTTAATCATTCTGTTGACTTGTAATCTCAGTCAACTTTTGCTTTTCTCCATTTTAGGATCATCAAAAGAATAGAGTAGGTAGGTCTCTATATTAGGAGTGTGACACTCATTATATGATTCTCTTCAGATTGTTCATTCTCAGTGTGTAATATTTACAATGAAGAACTTGACACAATTTGCTTGTTTGTTGTCCTCTAGATGAACATGTAGCTTGTCTGTAGCTTGGGACTACTCAAATTTGTGCTGTTATTAAGTGATTTTGCAGAGTCTGGGCTCACATGTATAAACATTTCTGGTGGATACACAACTAAGTATAGGATTGTTTATAGAATTCCCAGGGGGGAAGATTTATTCCCCTCTTTGTGGAGGCCTTCTCCACATTTCACTGGATTTGTCCTTAGATATATTATTATGTACACACGTTGCATGTTCCAATTCAAAGCTTAAATTTTCACTGCATCATTAGTATTGACAATGTTCCAATTTCTTATGTGTTCCTTATATTCGAACACTCTGATGATTTCTAGTACCACATTGTAGATTTTTTAGGGGAGGAGCAAATGGTCAGGCAGTCATGTCATGAACGAGAACATTCGTTTGGCTCACTTTAGCATAGTCTTTCTATTTTTCATTTTTCTTGCCTTGGCCCAGTGGTAGACCCTCTAGTACAATTGTGTAGCAGATGGGTACTTTTGTACAATCTCAGCATAGAAAGGAGAGCTCTCAACATTTCCCCATTACATGTGGTCCTCCTTGTCCTTTAAAGTTCTGGTAGAACTCAGTTGAGAATTGATCTGTTCCTGGACTATTCTTTGTTGAGAGGCTTTGAATTGCTGCTTTAATCTTAATGCTCAATATTGGCCTTCTTAGGTTTTCTATAGCCTTAGTTAAATTTGGGTAGATCATATGTGCCTAAACATGTTAACATCTTACATATTTTCCAGCTTATTGAAGTATTATTTTCAAAATAGGTCCTAATGAACATCTGTATTACAGAAATATCTGTGGTAATATCTCCTTTTCATCTCTCATTTTATTGATTTAGGTCTTCTCTTTCTTTTGGTGAGTTTGGTTAAGATTGTATCAATTTTATTTACATTTTAAAAGAATTAATTCTTTGGTGCAGTGATCTTTGTAATTTTTTTAAATTATCAATTTTATTTCTCACCTTTATTATTTGCTGTCTTTTATAGTTTTTAGAATTTGTTTATTTGTGCTTTTCTAGTGTCTCGAGATGTAACATTAGATTCTGGGATCTCTCTCTCTTTTTTTTTTAAATGTAAGCACTCAATGCTATAAACTTTCCCCTTAGAACTGCCTTCATACTATCCCAGAAATTTTGAAATGTTTTAATACTGTTCTCATTTGTTCCTAAGAACTGTTTGATTTCTCTCTGAATTTATTCTTTGACATATAACTGTTTCAAAAGTTCATCAGTTAATCACCATGTGTTAAAATGGTTTATGTTTTATACTTTGCTATTGATTTCTAATTTCACTTCAGTATGACCTGACAGTATGGAAGAAATTATCTCAATTTACTTTTTGTCCTAAAATATGCTCAATTTTAGAAGTGATTCCATGTGTGGGTCAGAAGAAAGTCAATGTGGTTGCTGATGGATGAAATATTCTAGAGTTGTTCATTAGGTCCATTTGATTGACAGTATGCCTAAATTCTGAAGATTCTTAACTTGGTTTATTTTGTATGACCTGTCTATTGGTAAGAGAACTGTGTTGAAATCATCCACTATTATTGTATTGGGGTCTATTTGAGTAGGGGTGCACTGATATTTGGGTCATAAATATTTACAAATCTTATATCTTGTTGGATGATTCCCTTAACCAATAAGAAGTGCCCTTCTTTTTCTCTTCAGATTAATTTCAATTTGAAATCTACTTTGCCAGATATGAGCATAGCTACTTCTGCTTGCTTTCATTCTCCATTTGCTTGGTATATCTTTTTCATATTTTCACCTTCAGCTTATGGATGTCTATGACTGTAAGGTGAGTGTCTTGTAAGAAAAAAATAGTTGGGTCTTGGGTTTTAATCTTCTCTACCAATCTATGTCTTCTGATTGGAGAGCTGAGACTACTTACATTCAATGTTATAATAGGGAGATTAGTTTTATTTACTGCCATATTAATTTATTATGAATTTGCTTCAATCTTGATTCTCCTTTACTGAGTATTCTCCTAGTGAGATTCATCCATTTCCTGGCTCTGATATTTTATTTCATTGCTGCTTATAATGCATCATTATGTGTGTTCTGTAGAGCTGGTTTACTGTTATAAATTCTATTAGTTTCTTATTATCATGGAAGGTTTTTATTTCATCTTTAATGCTGAAGAATAGCTTTTTCTGAATGTAGCAATCTTATTTAGCAACCATTATCTTCAGAACCTGGTAAATATTAATCTAAGCCCTCTCAACTTTTGGAGCCTGGGCTGTGAGCTTAGAAGAAGCTTATCTCAGAGTATAAACTGCTCTTTTTCTATTACCGCTTTTAAAATTCTATCCTTATTCTGTATATTCATTTTTAAGTATAATGTTCCTTGATGAGGATATGTTTTGATCTTGTCTATTGGGGTTATAATGTCTCTTCTATTTGGATTTTCACCTTATTCCTAAGGTTTGGGAAATTATCTGATAGCTCCATGCTGAAAAGAGTTTGCATTCCTTTACTTTGTATCTTAATGTCTTATTTTATGCCAAGGATTCTTAGTTTTGTTCCCTTAATGTTGTCCCAGATTTCTTTTATGTTCTTGGTCATGGTCTCTAACTATTTTTCTTCATTGTTGACTTTGTGTTCAGGATTATACTCTTTGCCTGTGAGACCTGAAAATCTGTCCTCTATGTGGTCCAATGTACTGATGATCTTTTCTACTGAAAACAGAACAAAACAAAACATTTTTTGGTAGTAGAGATTGAGCCCAGGGGTGCTTAATCAGTGAGCAACATTAGCAGCCCTTTTAATTTTAATTTTTAAATTTTAAGACAGGGTTTTGCTAAGCTGCTTAGAGCCTTGCTTATTTGCAGAATCTAGCTTTTAATTTGTGATTCTCCTGCCTCAGCCTCCCAAATTCTAGGATGACAGGTGTGTGCCACCATGTCAGGCTGTATTTTCAATTTGATTTATTGAGTTTTTCACTTTCAGTGTTTCTATATGTTTATTTTTCTTTCATTATCTCTGTCTCTTTATTGAAATGATCTGCCACTTCCTATTTTTCCTCTTAGTTCATTCCTTAGATGTACTTTTAGTTCATTAAACATTGTAACTATCATCTTTTTCTGATCTTCCTCTACTGAGGTGTCAATGGGGTCAATTTTTCTCATGTTCTGAGCTATTTGAAGTAACATGCTCTCCTGTATTGTTAGTATTTCTACCCACCTGCTTGTATTACTTACTATTGCTTCTACATTTATATAAAGGGCTTTGGGTGAACTGCTTTCCCTTTACTATATTATGTGCCCTGGGTTAGGTGAGAATCTTGTCAATATTGTCACTCAGTTTGACCGTGGTAATATGTTCAGGCTTTAGCACCACATTGAGAGGAGGTATCAATCCCATGATTATAAGTCCTTTGCAACCAAGCCATATACTAATAAACCTTAAAAAATTTATTGAGCATGTTCTTCTGCAGTCCACTGATCTGATTGGAAATGGAAGTGAACTTTTTTTTTTTTCATAAGTTGAGAAATTAGGTAATAAGAAAAGTAAAATTGCTTTTAAACTATTTTTGGCTTTCTGGTCAGGTATTCTCTCGGTGCTTTGATTCTGGATTGTGAAAAAGTCAAGACATATTGCCTATTTCCACTCCCCCCATCTTCTGAGAGCCTATTTATGTATTTACTCATTTGTTTGTTTTGTGAGTTTTTTTTTTTAAATAAAGTTGGTTCTTTCTAAGTTTCAGACA